AATGATGCAACGATTTGGTGTTTAGTGCCACCATGCCTATATGTCTAAGTTTTTGTGTATACTAACAAATATTATGGCTTTGATATGAGGGCGTTCGATTCGGTATTCAGATTGTTCAGATCCCATGAAGGCCACCATGACATCAACAAAGTCTTTAGTCCTTTCTCCCTCGTTAGATTGAATATGCTCGTCAATGACCTTCTCAAAGAAGGTATCAAACGCCTTGTTAACAGACTTCATCCGCTTCGTGAAATCTTGGAGGTCGAAGGGAGCTATAAAAGGAATGTAATCACCCAAGTTAGCAGCGCCTATCAATTGGACGCCCTCTTCGATCACAGACCTGAAACCCCTCGCATCAAACTCCTCATCCTTATACATCTTCCCAAGCACCATCCGGCAGCTCATGACCATGCTGAGAGATGAGACATTGTCACTCAGATCAACAGCGACACGTCCATTATCGGCAGTGGCTCGAATAGACTCAACACAGAGAGCAATCGCGTCTCTCCTCATGGACTTGAAGGAGTTGATTTTGTGGTTGCTGAGCAACTCAAGGGTGCACATCTTCCTCGTGTCGCGCCAATATGCACCATATTCAGAGAAAACCAAGCTCCTTTGCCCAAAAGAGATGAGCTTTGCTCCTTCATGTGGTGGCCTACTTGCAAAAACAAGGTCGTGTGTTTTGAGGAACAGCTCGGCAGCTTGTGGAGACGAGACAACAATGGTGTGCATAAGGCCTAATCGCATGTACATGATGTCGCCGTATTTTTGGGCCAGCCGATGAAGATCCTTGTTGGGGAACTTCCCTAGCAAGTGAAGGCTTCCAAAAATGGGAAACCCTCTTGGACCAGGAGGTAACATCTTCTTCTTGTTCTTCCACCATGCTTGCAGGATATAAACAAGGGCAAGCAACCCAATTGTTGCCCAAATCCAAACCATTGCTCTTTGAGGATGAGCTCAAATGGTTGACTAGCTGAGTGTGTCTAAGAGGAGAGAAGTCTCTCTATGCTCTTCTCTGTATACTTTGTTTCGTTGTGTTTAATGAATGAGGATGCGTGGAAGATCCAAACATCACACGCTTCTTCACTACAACCATTCATAAAGTATCCCAAGTCACCATTTCAAATGAAGCAGCAAGATTGAATAGTACATGCCAGAATGCAATAGCTACCACAAACCTAAGGTGGTCCTTATCCAATAATTCTATTCTATTATGGAGCAATACAGTATACATAGCGTTTTTGTTCTGCCTTTATCTGTGTCTTTTTCGCATCTCATAATTTTCTCTTTAG